ACCTCTTTCAATTGTATAAGCTTCAGGCTCCACAAACCTGGAACCACCCCTGCATTTGATTCTTTATGCTCAGCCGGAGGCATGAAAAACCCGCAGAGCAAATCCCAATCTTGGGTTAGAGATAAGCAACTATTACTGGTGGCCCCCCTCTCCCATATAGGCTTCTGTCTCCTTTCAGTTTCCTCCAGTCCTTTCTCCCTCCTCTCCCTCCTCCGATCTCTTCTTTCCTCTGTCCCATCTCACCCGCTTCGGCTCTCGCCTCCCATTGCCTGCCTTTCCACTACCCCCTCTCCGCCCTGGGCTCACGGGCTAGGCATGGATGCAGTGGTGGGTGCCTAAACCAGAACATCCACCTGTGTGAGATTTCGGGCTTATGCAGCCCTTCCGTTCGCAGTCACTCTAGTGTTTGTGCGCGCACACACACACACACACACACACACACACACCCACATCCCCCCAGGCCCATGCGGCAGGAGCTCAGCTGTTAGAATCGCTAGAAAGGAACATACACTTCAGCTCTCCCACTTGCCCTTGTTTTGGGGGTCCACCTCCAGACTGCTTGTCTGTGTGTAGTAACGGCCTCTGACAGCACGTGCCCAGTGTGACCCCAGGTGGAGGCTGAATTTCGTTTCTTGTCTTGTTTAACCTCCGCACTGCGGCAAAAGCAGCTGGGACTCCCACCCTCCCGGGTCTGGAGGAACTGAGGGGTGGGGTGGGGCTGGAGGTGGTGGTGTGGGGAGGAGTGTCGGGGATCACCGATACTCAGTATAGATCCAGCCCTGCATTTGCCTGTTTCCAGCTCGGCCCATCTCTTTGTGGTTGCCGCTCCGACACCTGCCTCGGCCCTCCTTTCCCCTCACCACTTCTCTCCTCCCAACAGCTGCTTTTTCACCCTCCACGGCCTGAAGAATGCTGTGGCACATACCGGGTTGCTAGAATAAGAGGTGGAAGGTGACTGAGGAAATGAAAGCAGAGCAATGGCTTGGGTCCCTACAAGCTTTGTGGGGTGCCCAGTGTCCTGAACATTTTCAGAGTTTTCTTTGAGGTGACTCCACCCTCAGCCATTTCTGCTTAGTAGTGACACATTCCAGAGCCAGGTATGTCCCCAAGAAAGTATCTTAGTGTGAGCTTGCAGAGGAGAGCCCCAAAGGTGCAGGAAGGTGCTTAGGGGACAGCTGTTCTAAGTCCCTCATTCCACAGAGGCTCAGAGAGAGCAAATGGCTTGCGGGAGGTGGAGTGGGGGGTGGTGTTTACACAACTGGTTAATGCTAAAATTTAGACCAGAATTCAAGATGTTAGAAGTCCTGTCTCTTACCGAATCTACCTTCTCTGTTAACCCTTCTTGTCTAAGCCCCACATCTCCCTCCTGCCTATCTCCCTTACCACAGTGCTGAAAGTAGCCCCCCTTCCCCCCCAAATTAGCCAACCAGGCAGATTCTGCCATAGGCTTTGGCAGAGAAAGAGAAAGTGAGGCAGGGGCTCTGGCTGGCTTCAGGCATTGCAGCTCTCTTTGTGGCCTTAGCAAGGGCTCCAGAGGGAGAAAGAGCTGAAGGAGGGGTGCACTGAGGGGTTTGGGGAGGGAGAGGTGGGTTGGTTAGGGGTCTGCTTGCTGGGGACTCTAGGCATGATATTGGGGGCCTGCTTGCCTAATGAACTCTTGGTCAGGGGGTGGGGATGGTGGGACCTGCTTGCGATCCTGGTTCAGGGTTTGGGGAGAGTTCGAGGTGTGGGGAGAGCTGCCTGCTGGTGTGCCCTGACTGCAGGAATTGGGCCAGAGGGGCGCAGGGGTCTGTTTAAAGTGGATCTCAGACCGGAATTGGGAACCTGCTTGCCGAAAGACCCTCCGCGTTGAGTTGAGGGGGTGAGGGACCTGCTTGTAGATGCATCCCCTCTTCGGAATTGGGGTCCTGCTTGCTGATGCATCCTCGGTTGAAAGGCGGGGGGCCTGCTTGCTGGGAAGGACCCTCAGCAGGGGGGAGGATTGGGATGGGACCTGCTTGCTGACCGCCCGGGGGCTGTTGTCCGACCTGTGCTTTTCCGCCCCCAGGAGGACGAACAAGGGGATGAGAATAAGGCCCGAGGGAACTGGTCCAGCAAACTGGACTTCATCCTGTCCATGGTGGGGTACGCAGTGGGGCTGGGCAATGTCTGGAGGTTTCCCTACCTGGCCTTCCAGAACGGGGGAGGTATGGCTTTTCCCGTCTTTCTGCCTTTGGAGCTGAGGGGTGGGCACTTGGGGGTTGTGGGGGAGGGACCCAGAGCCCCTGACGCCGGGAGGGGAGGCTCAGAACAGCCTCCTCACATGCCCGCCCCATCCCCCCGAGGCAACAGTACTAAGCCAGAGGCCAGGAGCTGCAGTGACTGTTTCACAGGAGGTCCGGGAGGATTTTACCTGGAGGTGGAGTTCAGGGAGGAGGTGGGCCGGCAGGATCCCCCAATGGTTCT